ATACCTTAGATAATATTATCAATCAAATGATAGAATTTTTCAAGACTTGGATAATTATTTAAACTTTATATGCTAGAAGTCTTGAGTCATTCCATTTTGAAAACCTTCTATGTTAGCTTGTCTTTTTCAAAATAAATTGGTAAGCTTGACTTCACACTCTAATCACTTAATTGGAAACAAAAAATGGCTGATTGATTTTGACTATATAAAGAGGATAAAGATCATATATGCTAATGACAAGTACCTTAATGCTGAAGGTATGGAAAATGTAAGTATCAAAGTGAAGAACGAAATAAATGTTTTGGTCAAAGATGTTTTGTATGTTCCTAGGATGAAGAGCAATATGATGAGTGTAAGTCAGCTTATTGAAAAAGGTTTCTCAGTAACTATAAAGAATAATCTCTTGAAGTTGTATGATTCTAATCAGAAGCTTATTATGAAATATGAGTAAGGAAGCAACAGAGAATTCTAGGTGAATATGGAGATAGTTGAAACTAAATGCCTTAGTTTAGAAGATGTTGAAGGTGACAATGATTTGTGGCATGAGAGATTGGGTCATATGAACTTCAAAAGTTTAGGGCATTTGAGTTCTATGAAGCTAGTACATGGCATTCCTATGATTGTGAAGCCTGAGAAGTTATGTGAGATATGCATGAAAGGAAAGCAACCTAGATTTCCATTTTGCATCAGAAGTGACTCCAAAAGCAAAACATGTTTTAGGAGTAGTGCATTATGATGTATGTGGAATATTTGAAGTATCTTCACTTGGAGAAACTATGTGTGTTTTATGGATGATTTCACAAGGATAACATGAGTAGTACTTGTCAAGTTTAACATGAGTTGTTTTCTGAATTCCAAAAGTTCAAAGTGAAGGCTTAAAAATAGATTAGTCAGAAGCTAAAAGTTCTTATAACTGATAGTGGAGATGAGTACAACTCTACATATTTCTGAATGTTTTTGTGAGGAGAATTGAATTGAGCATGCAGTTACTGCTCCATACACTCCTCAACATAATGGTCTTTCTTAAAAAAGAAATATAACCTGGCTTGATATGAAAAGGAGCATGTTGAAATAGAAGAAGCTCCCTTAAACATTGTGCGGTAAAGTTGTTACCACTGCAACATATGCGCTTAGCAGGTGTCCAACTAAGATGTTGAAAGAAATTGTTCCTTTTTAGAAATGGACCGGAGATAAGAAAAATGTGAGTCATTTTAGAGTATTTGGTTATGTTTGCTACAAACTAGTGCCATATGCTACTAAAAAGAAGTTGGATGATTGAAACAAAGTAGTGTTGCTGATTGGGTACCACGGTATAGGTGCTTATAAGCTTTATTGTCAGTTCACTGATAAAGTTGCAATCAATAGAAATGTCATTGTAAAAGAATCAGAAGTGTGGGATTGGAACAAGTCTCAATCCAACTCTGGTGTAGTGTCAACACTTGAGTTAACTTCTGAAGATACTTCTGAATCTGATGGGAATTCTTCCTTTAAAGATAAGTCAAAGTCAAAAGATAACTCTAAATCTGAAGTTGAGTCTGATTCTAAAGGTGAATCTGATTCTGGTCCAAATTCCAATGATGATCCAGACTCTGGTGGTAATCAAACCTCTGACGATGGTCATGCTTCTGAAGGTGGAACATCTGAAGGTGGTCTAACTTTTCAAGTTAGTCAAGAATTTGATATTATTCCAATATCTGAAGAAGAGTTTGAACAAATTCAGAGGCCACAAAGAATCATAAAAATACCAACAAAATTTGTAGAGTTTGACATGTTACAAGATACTGAGATAGACTCTAAAAGAGAAGTAATTCAGTGTGCCATGTTAGTAGAATCTAAATCAGTTAGTACTGAAGAAGCTCTCAAGAAAAATGTTTTGCTGAAGGTCGTGAAAAAGAACTTGAGGCTATAGAAAGAAACAAGACTCGAGAGTTGACTGAGCTTTCAAAGGAGAAGAAAGCCATTAGTGTCAGATGGATTTTCAAGATAAAGCTGAAGTCAGATGGATCAATTGGCAAACACAAAGCAATGTTAGTAGCTAGAGGATTTCTATATAAATCTGGATTAGATTACTTTGATGTGTTTGCACATGTAGTTGGACATGAAACAATCAGACTGGTGATTGCTTTAGTTGTAAATAGAAATTGGCCTCTGATGCATCTGGATGTGAAATATACCTTTTTGAATAGTCCATTACAAGAAGAGATATATGTATCACAACCTCTTGGAATTTTAAAGAAGAACAAGGAAGGGATGGTGTGTGGGTTACATAAAGTGTTGTATGGACTCAAACAAGCACCTAGAGCTTGGAATCTGAAGATTAATTCATTTTTCAAGCTACGAGGATTCCGAAAGTGTGAGATGGAGTATGTCATTTAGGTTCAACATACTTCTGAAAGTAATATGATTCTGGTGTATATATATATATATATATATATATATATATATATATATATATATATATATATATATATATATATATATATATATATATATATATATATATATATATATATATATATATATATATATATATATATATATATATATATATATATATATATATATATATATATATATATATATATATTGATGACATATTGCTAATAATGAGTTGTTCATATGAGATAGTCAAGTTTAAGAAGGTGTTGATGAATGAGTTTGAGATGACTGATAAGAAAAATATGATATATATTTTAGGGTTAAATATACAAACTACCCTTGTAATATTAGCGGGTTTTTTTTTAGTCCCTAGTAAAAAAAAATTAAAACCCCCTTATCTTATTTAGATTCTATTAGTATGCCCTCCAAATGCCACATATCTTCAAAGATTCCCTTCAAATACCTATGTGGCAGGGTTTAGGTGGCTTTTTTTTTATTTTTTATTTATTTAATTAGTGACATGGAATTTATTGCTTTAGCTTTCATATGAAAATATAGAAAATATCTCAAAAAATTACTTCAACTGGGATTCAAACCCAGGAATCGGTGCATATTGAAACACCTCATTACCACTAGGCCAACTGCTTTTTTTTGTTAATATGTCTCTAACAAAATCAAATATCTCTTAAACAAAATCAAATAGCTATAACAATGAAACAAATTCTCGTAGGTATTCAAGAGTTGCTTGATCAGCCTAATCCTTTTGACCCTGCCCAAACAGAAGGCTATCATCTATTCATCCAAGTAGATAATCAAAAGATCCCCACATTAGCATAATCATAATCGCTATTGGATAGGATTAAAAACTAGTAATTTGTTCAGTTTATCTCTCCATCGTCTAGACATGTCCTGGTATAAAATTTAGAATTAGTTGTATTCTTTCCAACTAAATGAAATGCAAATAAAAGCTTCCAAATTCACAAATAATCAAAAACATGGTCCAAGGATGTATACAATTTATTATTAAAAAAAATCAATTTTAGATAGAGCAACAGAAAAAACCTCAGTTACTTGACAAACACAGTAATCGATTTTAGCTACTTGACAATCCTATCCACATTATGTTAATCCCTATTTCTCATCCATACACGGAAACAAAACTCAACAATTAGAAAGCGAAAACGAAAATGAAAACGAAATACGAAAACCTAACATTAGTTCCGTAAAATGAGTGAAGTCACCTGAAATGGAGCGTTATCGACGGTGGTGGCGTAGGAGTCAGAGTAAAAATCAGAGCAAGTCAACTCGGGGAACGTCAGCGAGTGGAAATCATGACAGAAGCGGTTTTGTGTGATTTTTACAGTTGAATTTTTGTGTGATTATTGGTTTTTCTAGTTATTTGATGTTGATGTTGTTGATTTCGTATGCTGCAGAAGCGTAGGAGAAGTTGTTGTTGCATTTGCAGGTTGGAAAAGTTATTGTTCTTGGATTTGATTTTGTTAGGAAAAATGATGAATATGTTTGATTTTGCTTAAGAGATATTTGATTTTGTTAGAGACATGTATACAAACAGAAGCAGCCGGCCTAGTGGTAATGAGGTGTTCCACTATGCATTGATTCCTGGGTTTGAATCCCAGTTGAAGTAATTTTTTGAGATATTTTCTATATTTTCATATGAAAAGCCTTGTCAAGAATCCAGTGTTGCATGGAATGAACAAACACATTAAAACGAAGTATCATTTTTTTAGGAATCGAGTTCAGAATGAAATGCTAGAAGTTGCTCACTCTAACACTCAAAAACAACTTGTAGATGTGCTCACTAAAGTTGTTATGACTGAACAATTTATCCATTTGAGGGATAACCTTGGTGTTATAGATTATAGTTAGCTAAATGTGAATTAAGGGATGATGTTAGAAGTAATTCATGTTCAAAAGTTGTTGTTTTAGAAGTTGTTGTTTCTATATGCTTCAGAACCTTACTCAACGTAGCTGAGAAATTACATGTTCAAAACCTTAACTCATCTTCCGAGTTTTATTAGCATAATTAATTTTGCTTACATTACATTTGAAGTCTGTGTATTTTAAACAAATTTGTAACTAGAGTAAATGCAACAATTAAGTTTTTCTTCAAAATTTGTTATATCCATTTTTCCTCTCTCACCAATAGTTTTCTCCTAAACACATAAGCTAGATTGAATATTATTAGCAAGATCCGTTGTATACTCAGCAAGTAATCGTTTGTCCATTAACTTAAGACTTTTCTTCATATTCTTGACTCTTGGTTTTTATTCAACGTGGTAGGCAGTCTATCCAAGCATGCAGCATGCTCTTTCGCTATCATTGTTTGGAATCAGTGCCCTTCCCTTGATTTAGTCCTTTGTTTGACTTGGCTTCATCTCAATAAAAGACCAATATTTAATCCTTCTTCAACCAATCAAAACAAGGTAACCTTTGACCATAATTTTCAAATACCGTATTCATTAGTATAGGGGTAGTTTGTAGCATAAAATAAAAAACAGACCGAGTCAAATTTGTATACATTATATAAACACAAACATTTGATTCATCATTGAAAGTAAAACCAAAAGAAAGGTAGCAGTTGAAAGAACAAAAACATAGCCATGGACAGAGAACAAGAAGAGATGCAATTTCTAGGACTCTTTGGAATCTACAAAGAATCCAACAAAATCATAGTTTCATGCAGCAAAATCTTCAGCCAAATTGCCTTAATTCTCATCCTCCCTCTCTCCTTCATCTTCCTTATTCATATCGATGTATCAAACATCCTCTTCAAAAAAATCATGATCAACACACAAGAAGTAGTCCACACACCACAAGGCACACCTCAATACCAAAAACTTTCAGACATAATCTCTTCAGAATGGACCACTTTCCTACTCTTTAAACTCGCTTACTTCACTTGTCTTCTAATCTTTTCTCTCTTATCAACCTCTGCAGTAGTCTACACCATAGCATCTTTTTACACTGCAAGAGATGTGAGTTTCAAAACTGTCATGAACGTTGTTCCAAAGGTTTGGAAGAGACTCATGGTCACTTTCTTATGCACTTTTATAGCTTTTTTTGTTTATAATATTATGGCAATACTAGTTTTCATTATTTGGGCAGTTTCGATTGGATATAACAGTGGTGGTGTTGTGATTCTAGTAATTATAGGAATCTTATACTTTGTTGGGGCTCTCTATCTTACAGTAGTTTGGCAATTAGCTAGTGTTGTGACTATTTTAGAAGACTCTTATGGAGTTGAAGCTATGATGAAGAGCAATGAATTGATAAAAGGAAAAGTGGGATTGTCAATAGTTATATTTTTGATGCTAAGTGTTTCAATATTTGGGATACAGTTTTTGTTTACAAAGGTTGTTGTGGGAGGTTGGTGGGTGAGTTTGGTGGTGAGAACAATGTCTGGGATACTATGTGTGGTTTTGTTGCCAAATATGTTTTTGTTTGGACTTGTTATACAGACTGTGCTTTATTTCGTTTGTAAGTCTTATCATCATCAGAGTATTGATAAGTCTGTTTTGTCTGAGCATCTTGAAGTTTATCATGGAGAGTATGAGCCATTGAAGGATAAAGATGTTCAGTTGGAGAATTATCATGTATGATTTATGTTGATAAAATGTATGTGAAATTGAACAATTCATGAAGATATTACAAGGATTATTTGTAGCCGTGTGTAATATATTGCAATTTTGTTGTAATTAATGTTTATCAATTTTCCCACGGTATCTACGTGGCTAAATTTTATCCAATAAAAGAGCTAATCATCCTACCCCTATTTTCCAAGTTGATGATTTTGTTGAAATAGACAATAACAAGTTTAAAATCCACTACCTAGTTTCCACAAATAACAACTTTGTAACTACTTTTTAAACTTGTTACTAAAAAAAAAAGGGGAAAATTGGCTTTGAACATACCATCAATCAGTTTAATGTTTTCATGTTTTACTCTTTCAACATCCTCCCTCAAATATATATATATATATATATATATATATATATATATATATATATATATATATATATATATATATATATATATATATATATATATATATATATATAAAACATGCCAAGTTTGAAAATAAAACTATTGAATTTACTTGTAGTCAAAGGTTTTGTCACTACAAAAAAAAGGTCATATGCCACGGCCATAAAATCGTGGTTATATGCAAAATAATCGTGGTTGTAACATTTGACCACGGTTTGGTCACGAATAAGTGACTATGGGATATGTAGCCGTGGTCTAAATTATAAGCCACAATTTTCATGTTTAGGCCAAGTTTTGTATATATTCGTGGCTTGAATAGGTCACGGTTTAGATATCTTGGTTAAGGTCGCGGTTTATCTTGCGCCTCGATTATTAACAGTGGCGAAATCTAGCCACGATTCTTATTTAATGTATAGGTTTAATTTAAGACCATTAATTAAAATCACTACAAGAAAAAACCCTTTAGCTAGGGGGTTAACTCCTCACTAAACCAAAAAAACACCTCACAAAATCAACATTCGTGAGAGGTTATGACCCTTAGCTAAATCATTAGTCGCTGATAAGTGGTGAGAAGCTAAGCACCTAGCCAATTAGCTTCGGGCTAAACCCCTCGCTAAAAGCAAAAGTTAATTGTACATTAGCTAAGGACTTTATCCCAAGTTAAAAATCAAAATTAATTTTTTAAATTATAAACGTAAATATTTAATTTTCTCATTATTTTAATATTTGTAATTAATAAATTTCATAATTAATAATATTAATAATAATATCAAGTTTAATATTATATTTGGTATTTTTTATATAAACTAAATATACCTTTTTATATAAACTAAATATACCTTTTTATATAAACTAAATAAACTAAATTTATTTTTTTATATAAAATGTTTTTATGATATATAATATATAAACTATTTAATATAATTAAATATATAAATTGTTTTAATATAATGAAATATATAATATATAATATATTTTTGGAATAAAAAATATAATAAATATAACTTTTTTTAATATATTATTTAATATAATGAAATATATAATATATAATATATTTTTGGAATTAAAAAATATATAATATATAAACTGTTTTAATATACTATTTAATATAATGAAATATATAATATATATATAATATATTTTCGGAATAAGAAAATAATATATAAACTAAATATATAATATATAAACTAAAATATAAAACTTATTTTTACATGTTTAATATATAACATTATATATATAATATATAATATATTTTCGGAATAAAAAAATTAACTTAATATATAATATATATATATATATATAAACAACATTTAACATACCTAATTATATCAACTAAATCTAATACATACCTAAATCAGTTTAATTTACCTAAATCTAACTTATAATTTAGAAACAAATTCAATAAAAATAAATAAATTACATACCTTATAAAGAAGCTTTATTAAACAAAGCTAGTATTGATGGATAAGCAATCAGAATACGTTTATGACCAGAGTAATTTACGAATCATAGAAAAAATTGATTAAGCGAAAAATGACCTTCTTCTCAACAACGAAGTGAATGGATGAAGGAATCTGCTTAGGTTGAAGACCCTCACGTCTCTTTTTGAGAAAACTCTCTTCTCTATGATTCTTACGGATCTCAACCATTGTGTCCTCACGACATCGACAACCTTCTTCGGCATCAACGACGACTTTGTATCAATTTCGACAGACTTCGGTCCTAGAGTTTGCAACTGGATGATATGACATTGTGTGGTGGTTTTCGTAACCTAGGTTTTCGAATTGGGGATGCATTCAATCCACCGTTTTTGTTTACGTTGAGCAATTTCCATTGCAAAATTCATGAGAATGGTTGAAATTTATGAAGAGTTTGTGTTATGGGTTTCGCGATTCTTTAAGGTTTGGAGTTTGATTTCAATGTTTTTTTCCTATTCGGTGAAAGAGAGAGACATGGATAATGAGGGAGAAGAGAGATCGCAGGAGGCGAAAGAGAGAAATGAGCTAGGGTTTGTACTTTTACAATCCGGTCTAGTTAAGGAAGGGCTCTAGGTCCGGTTCGGCCCAGATTTCCTTTTTTTAATCTAAAAAAAATAGAAATAAAAATAATTAATGAGTGGGAAACTAAAAAAAAGAGGGAAATTCTGGAGGGGTATATTTTTTTGGGCTTGGGCCACAGTTTGAAGTGAAAATTATAATGTCGCGGTTTTTATTTGTGGCTTAAAATATCTACTATTTGTTATGTATGCCTAAAATATAAGTGTGATTTTCTAAACGTGGTGTCACACTCCAAATTTGTCCTACTTATTTTTCTTTTATCTAGTTTAGGCTTCACATTTCATTTGCATGTTTTCCACTAGATCACTCACATATCATACATTCCTAAAGTAGGGGTTCAGAATCATGGGTTGTGCTAACTAGGGTTTAATCTTTGTTTGAGGCTTCTACATTCTACAATTGATTTCCTTGGTTCCTCACTGCTCAATGGACAGTGAAATCAGGTTTTGAAGTACGGTTATCATGAGTTTATTATTCATCCATGTACATGGCTGGTTCTCATTCAAATTCATCAAGAATTTGGATTAACGTTTATTTCCCCATGTGTGACTAAAAATCAGGGTTTGTTAGCATCATGCCTCAGCTAGGGTTTGAACCCCTTAAGTGTTGAGTATGGATAATTATTGATTCTCAAAGATTATTTCATCAAAGTTTGGCCCTTAGCTAAAAGTACAGTCAAGACTTCATCATCACTGGTTCACATGGGCATCAATATGTCTTGAAGTGCAAGGAAAGATCAAATTTGTAAGTCAATTCCAAGCACTTTGACCAAAAGTCAACATTTTCAAGATCAAGTTCAAACAATCATAACTTCTTCATTATTCAATATTCTTGAGTGGTTTGTTTTATGTATGATTCCTTTTGTCGTCATCTCCAACTTCTCTTTACAAGTCGAGAGCTAATTATGTGTATAAGGCCATCAAAAGATTGAGTACATTAGAGGTTGCTTTGTAACTTTGACCAAATTTCAAGTAACTTTTTACCAACTTTCAAAGATCATAACTCTTTCGATTTTCATCATGTTAGGTTGATTCTTTTTGCGAAATATCACAAATGGCATTGTCTACAAATTTGTTTCAAAGAACGAGAGAAAAATGTGCTTAGAAGGCCATGAATTTGATTGGAACATTATAGGTCACTTTTGGCTTCAAATGTTCTTAACCTCTAATTTCAATTCATGCCATAATTGTTTCCTCAAGGCATTGTTTCTTATGGTGAGATCATTCATCATGAAGTGTTGAGTTTGAAGATTTCAAAATTAATAAAGGATTCCGAATGTTTTTCAAGCGGGAAGTTCATTCAATTTCAAGATCAAAAAATGAAGAGAATTTCTTACTTTCATGAGTTTGAAAATTGCAAGTTAAAAGAAGATTCAAGTTGATCCAAATTTCAAGTTTCTTTTCCAAATTCGAAGTTTCAAGGTCATTCTTTACAAGATTTCAAGCAGTTCTCAAGACCATGTTCAAAGTTCAATTTTGCAAAATTCATTCAAGTTCCTCTAAAGAGTTACACTCATAATTTTGAATTACACTCATGACTCAAGAGTTCAATCATTTCTAAACCTAAACTTCAAGCAAATTCATATCAATATTACAAGTTTTGGTTTGATTCAAATATGGAAAGACTTTGACACATTCAAGATTGTCATGGCTTAAACTCCAACTACATTCCCATTGTCACAAGAACATACATATTGCTTGATTTCAAATTACATCATTCATCATTAGTTCAAGTTCGTCATAAATTACATGGAGTCAAGCTAATCATTCATCATTTATTACAAAGGGTTTTAATCTAAAAAGGGTTACAAAAATTCCTAAACCTATGCTAAACCTAATTTCCAATTCATCTGAACTCATCACCCAAAATCTGTCCAAAATAGTCCACCAAAATAGCCTTCTACAAACCTACAAAACAACAAGCCAAAACATATCAAAAATATGCCCTGCTGTCCACTTTGCTGTTGCTTCAAAACCAGCCCAAATACCATGCTTTCAAAGCAATCCTATGCAGTCCTGCATCATCTGCAAAACAGCCCAAAACCATGTTAAAAATCAGCCCTCATATTGTCAAACCTGCACAAAATCAGTCTGAAATATGTGCAAAAAAAAACCCTTCAAACCAGTCCAATAGCTGCTGTCCACTTGCTACAAAACCATCCAAAAACTCAGCCCTGCTATGATGCCATATACAGATCACAACCATGCTTCAATCCTTATCGACCACAGACTTGCACAAGAAAACAAAACCTATCAAAAGGTTTCCCGAAATGGATAAGCAACTCCGCTGCAAGGAAAAGAACTAAACCAGTAGACATAAAAACAATTTCACATTCAAAATGAGGCTCATATTTTCCCTCTATATAACATGCCCCGTTCTTCATCAAAAGGCAGAGGGAGAGAATCTCACACAAAATAAAAATATATTTTATAAAAAATTTCACAGAAAAAGATATTATAGAGGGAGAAAAACACAAATATTTCACACAACAGAAAAATACTAACAAAAATATGTCTGAAACTTCCTCCATACACTGCAAACTCTTCATCAAGGAGAGG